GTGAAATATCGGTTGCAAAACTGTGGCCTTTTTAAGCTAAAGGGTGAATCATGAAATTTAAATTTAGTACATTATACTTCATTTCTGTTTTTCTGATTAGATTTATTAATCAATTTACAAAAAATCAACCAACCAAATAGGGAGGCATTTGTTAAAATAAGTATGTTAAAAAATTACTTAAACAAAAAAATAAGTCCAAAGTATCAAGAAAGAATGCTTTCAAAAGAATCAAAACATGGCTTAAATTTTTTTACACTTGAAATGTTCACCTAAGGGATAATGGTGATAGTTGACATTTTGGCGAATTTGTTTTACATATCAAAGAGGGGTAATATTGGATATTCATTAGATTTTTTTTTGCTCACAGCATGAAGTGTTACTAAAACATAATTTTTGGAGAGGTTTCCGTAATTTTTCAAATCTCAAGAAAGATAGTTGTGATTGTCAAAAACCTCAAGGAATGTTTCCAAAATTCTCTTCCGTTAATTAGTTACTTGTATTTAATTAGTACTCTAATTACTTAATTGTCATATATTAGTTTCTAATAAGACATAATATCTTAGGTTATATGAATAATTTCTTCCCATATGATATATGCAATTGGATCCAAGATACCGACAAAAGAGGTCAGTATTATTTTGCAAACATCAGAAGAGACCGGTGAAATTGTAGAAACTTCGGAGGAGGTTTCTAAAATTATTCCAATATTTTTTCTAGAAGGAACTCTCGGGCCCAGGTTTTATAGTTTAGGTGCATCTATTTCCTAACCTTCGGCCACCAAGTTCAGCAACTAAAATAAATAAAATAGTACCATATCTCCATCATTGTAGGCCACCTGCCAGCGAAAAATATACGATGGATTTAAGAACCGACTTGTTCTCATATTGCGTGTCTAATGTTTTCTCATCTAACGTACTTAGTATAACATCAAAATTAGGGATGGCAATGGGGGCGGGTGCCCGCCCCGCGGGGGGCTCTCGGGACGGGGGTTGGGGCGGGGGCGGGGGGGAATTTTTCCCCCCCGCTTAGAAACGGGGCGGGGGGCGGGGGAGTATACCCCCCCCCATCCCCCGCCCCGCCCCCCGCAAAAAAAAAAAAAAAAAATATATATATATATATATATATATAATTATATATAATATGTAAGTTAATTAGTTATAAACTTATGATAATGATATTATTAGTTAGATGTATTATATAATGTATATTAGTTTATGTAATATAATTGATATTATCAATTATATGAATAATTCTACATGTCTACTAATAGAATTTATTAATTAGTTATACTAAATTTACTAATACATTTATACTAAATTTCTAATTACACTTAATAGAATAACACTTTTTTCTCAAAAAAAAGCACAAACACAATAATGAATTAGTGATTGCATTTGTACTAAAAATTAAAACTTGACTATTTTAGTTATATTTATTTCATCATATTGGATTGTATTCAAATAACTTATGTTTGATTGTTTTTATGAGTTTCAATTGTAAAATTACAATGAATAATAATTTGGTGATGTGTTGATATTTTAGTACTTGATTATTTATTAAAATTTAATTATAATAAAATTATATAATAAAATTTTATTAACCCCGCGGGGGCACCCGCGGGGGAAGCGGGGCAAGGCGGGACGAGGGCGGGGCGGGGCGGGGGGAGCAGGAGGCGGGGGACGGGGCGGGGGACGGGGGGAACTAATAGGCAACGGGGCGGGGGACGGGGGAGGGGTCCCCCGCCCCAACCCCGCCCCGTTGCCATCCCTAATCAAAATCGTGCTTTTTTTAATTTTCCAAAATCGTGCTTTTGATGTGATCTTTTTTCGTGACTTAATATTCAACCAAAAGTACCAATCTTATTTTTTTTTTCAGTCAGATTTTAACCAATTCACTTGCCTTTTTCTTTTCTCCTTATGATCTTCAATTTTAATTTCCTTAAAAAAAAAGAGAGAGATAAACTTGCAATAGTTACAGATATATATTTTTGAATACATACATTTGCCCAAAACATATATAATTTACCAGTATGCTTTGCTTTGTACAGAATTTTCGCCATTTGAACTTTTACAGAGAATCCCTATTCTTTTCATCCAGTTCAGCCACGAGATCTTCCATCAAAATCAATTATAGTCATTAAGCTCCTTTGTCGTTAGTCATATAGGGAAAATTCATCCTCAAGAAACGCCGAAGATCGAGTCCAGTCGAGCAAATTTGACAGGTGAAGCTAGAGACTTCAATATCTGCTTGTCTGATTTGGGATGACTTCCTGATTCTTGCCAAGCACCACACGCTTGTTACGTATGAAGAAGACAAAGCTTACTAATCAGAAAAAACGCGTGGTATTTGTGACGCTCAAAGAATTTAATGGGAAGCCCAATCATCATTAAATTAGAGAAAATTATTCAAAACGTTTTCTCACATTTTATTAAATAAATTTTTTTATCTTTTATTTTTAAATTATTAACTTTATGTCCCTTATAAATTCAGATTAGCAAAATTTGTTTCCGACCTAAGATTCTGACCTTTTTTTAGTCTGAGATTACCATGTGACCCACATACAATTAGTTTTTATGCGCAAAAATGTTAGATCACATTTTTCTACTGAAAAGGTAAATATGGTTCGTGTCAAGTCTTATATATTTTTTTTTGGAGAAAAGATGAATATGGGTCAGGTCATTTATTTAACTACAAATACAATCTAACCATTTTGCTCTAAAAAAAAAATCATGTGTAGGTCACGTGATAGATTCAATATAAAAAGTGGTCGAAAATAGACTATTGACTTAATTTTGTAAGGGACGTAAAGTTATTATTTCAAAAGTGAAGGAACAAAAAATTCATTTGATGAAATATGAGAGACGTTTTGAATGATTTTTCCTTAAAATTGAGGCTTTCTTTTTTTATTCTAACAATAGACATGAAAAAAAACCAAAATTAAAGCACCCACCAGCATAACTATTTTTGTGAAAATGATAAGATTAACCTTAGCATGAGATTTAAATTTTGATTGTTGACATTAAAATCGATCATCCGCTTGCCATAGGTGTCATTCAAGGGAAGGAAGTATAAGTAAAAAGTTTTGGACTACTAGACGCAGAAAAGTGGAAGTAGAATATTTCATTTTTATTAAGTGAAGGATTTTTCTTTTTCCTCCTTCACGATAATAAAAAAAAAGAGATAAAAAAAAGCTATATGATGATCTACTTGAGTTCTTGTAAATAATATCTCACTAAATTAATGGATTGATTTGAAGAATTCAAGTTTAAATAAGATTTGGGAAAGAGATGAGTTGGATGGTTTCGATGAAGGAGTACAAATAAGAGGTCCTAAATTCAAGTACCCTGACTTACACTAAAAAAAGGGGAAAGAGTTTAAATAAGATCATACATTCTCTAATTCTCAACTTGAACTCAAATTTGACTTGCTGAACACAAAACTTTGAATATTTATTATTTTGGCTTGACCAATTCTATATACTATGAGAATTACTTCCAAATTCACAATAGAAGTCTTTTTTTTTTTCAAACCCACTTCAGAGTGTTTAAGTATTTTTGAAGTTAATTTGTCATAACCATTATAGTAAGAATATTTACACTATTCTTCCATATATATTTTTCTCTTCCATAAATTTTCCATTTTTCTTTTTTTTGTGCACCTTATAATTATATCTACGTCTAAAGAGTGGAATTTCCTTCTTAAAAAATATGAATTTCGGCACACTATCCTCCCCAATAAAATTACAAAGTGAACCATTATCCAAAATTGTAGACTAGAATTTCTTAAGAAATAAAAGTCTCAAGATAATTTACTTCCCAATATTTTAAAAAATTTTCTAGTACATAGAAAAACAGGGTGGGGTTAAATCTATACCCCTTGATACTAAATCCATACTTTAAACACTTATTAGATTTTATACTCTTGGATTTTAAATTTATTTGATGATTTTTGTAGTTTCAAGAAACATATATATTATATAATAAAAAAGAGAACAAATGGTTACATTGTAAAAGAAAAATATTTTCAAGTATTTTACAAGGGCTTAAAAATATGTACTAATTTAAAATTTAATTTAGCAATCCAAAATTTTCCATTACTAATGAGCATGTAAATAGAAATGTTCACAAATTTCAATTCCATAAAATTAAAATCAATTGAGTTCCAAGGTGAAATATGCAATCATATTGACTTCATACTAGTAATATTTACCATTTTTTTGGGCAAAATTCCGTAAACGAGGTGGGGATGCCAACCCTAATTTTATTAATTATTTTAAAAAATTTAAAAAAATGGAGAAGGTTCGAACCTTACCTCCAATACATGTCAAGAAACATAAATTTGGAATGAGAGAAAGAAGAAAAGGAATTTCTGTATAAGGCTTAAATAAAGATATAGGTGTGAGTTTTTTATGTAGAAAAGATGTTATTACTCTCTCTTTTCATTATGTAAAAAGATAATTAAATACTATAAAAAGTGTTGATTTAATGTATAAAAGTTAAGGGCATAAGTGCTTAATAAGTATATAGGGTGTGGATTTAGTATAAAGGGGTGTGGATTTAGCCCCTCAAAAAAAAAAAGAAAAAAAAGGAAGAAAGGACAAATACTAGTGGTATATCAATTAATCTAATAGCCTGTTTAGGATTGGCAATGCGTACACAAAAACAAAAAATGTTTTTAAGTAATCAATTTCTAAAGTATTTTGTAATCAATTTCTAGTATGTTTTTATCCATTGAACTATCAAAAGTGTAAATTTTGGATAATTTTATTTAATTTTATCCTTAGTTTTGTCAGATTTAATTATTAATAATATATTTCGTGAATCATGTGAATTTTGATAATTTAATAGATAAAAATATACTATTAAAAATTGAATGATCAAATCTTTACTATTTAAAAATTGAGTGACTATATGGATAATTTGCTCGTAAGTTAATGGTGCCCACTTTTTAGTAATTAAAAGAGCATTTATTAGAAGCACATGTGTCATTTATGAGCCACCGGTCTCTGATCTAAAACGCGGCCGCAGAAAACCCGAAGCAACAAATAGCAGTAGCACCTTGAAATTGGTAACTGCGAGTTTATCGCAACGCCGCCTCTTCTGACGACACTCAGCTCTCCTCTCCTGTCCCCGCCCGCCCCGCTTTCCCTGTTGCTGTTATATTAAATGTTCAAAAAATAATTACTGACTTAATACTCTCATTTAATTATCATTTATATGAATCCGATTCTTCGTATTCATCTTTTCCCCAGCATCGAGAAAGTAAATCGCCCATCTCATTTTCTGTAAATTGTCTATTCAAATTATTGCATTTTATTTATAGATATATGTTTTTGGGAGACAGCTGCAGTTGCATAGAGAGAGAGAGAGAGGTAGGGGTAGGGGAAAAGATGGTGAAATTAGCGGCAGCTGTAATAGTGCCGTTGGGCGTTCTCTTCTTCCTCTCTGGCCTCGTCATCAATCTCTTTCAGGTACCTATTGCATCCTCCTCTTATTTTTTTTAAAAATTTTATTTCTGTATTTAAAAAAAAAATTTAAGAATTTGTATCGAAAAATGAATAATTAATGCCTAAAAGTTAGGGTTTCCAAAATCTTGGTTTTCGTTTCATTTAGATGTCTGGTAAGTTTATGCATCAGGTTTTTTTTTTCTTTACGTTTGAATTTCTCTTTCATGGATGAAATTGATTTAGGTCAGAAAAATTCGATATTTTCAATGCATTTCGCGTGACTATCGATCCTTCAGTTGAAAGTGCGTGAAATTTGTGGATTTTAATGTATGAGTGACGAATTTTTTGGTTGTGGGATAATTTTTCAGGCGATATTTTTTGTCCTGATAAGGCCACTATCCAAGAGTACGTACAGGAGGATAAACAGAGTGTTGGCAGAACTACTGTGGTTGGAGCTCGTTTGGATAGTTGATTGGTGGGCTGGAGTTAAGGTAATGATGATTGTTTTCCTTCATAAGAGAAGTGTTATTTCTATTTTTGTTAAAGTTAGCTCATTGCTGTAATTTTGATCTGGCTGTTATATTCTAGGCATGCAACTTGATGGGGCTGTTTAACTCGAATAGATGTTTTAAATAAGGTGCTAATATAAGGTTATTCCAGTAGCGGCACCATTTAGTTAAGGAGGTTAAGTGTGAAGCAACGCATGTGACATATTGGAGTTTGGGAATTGGCCATTCATGTGTGTGTTTTTGTGTATTTTATCAAGATCAAGTAATGCTGAGACTGATTAGCTTTGTACTCCTTTTTAAGTACGGAAACAACTGTCATCTTAAGTAAATTTTTTTGTATGTGCTACTATGGTCTAAAGGAAGTCTCTCAAACTAGAAGTGGGCTGGATTATCGTGTGAAGCTTGTCTTTAATGCAATTAAAGATCTTCATCTCCATTTGAAACATGATGAAACCTACACTTATTGCTGGTTAAATTAATTTTTATAACTTAAGGCATTTGGCAACTCGAAGGAAGGTGTAATAAATGTTTGAAAGCAAGGAACTTTGTATGTGCATAGAAGGAAAGCGAACATTCAGGAAGCACAGTGTGGCTTTGCTTGTCAAGAAACATCCACATGTTCTCTTTTATACCCTTTAGCAACCTTTTTGGAACAACAAAGGGAATCTCTAATTTGGCACATAAGTCGTTAATTTGAATATGCGTGACCAGCTTGAAGTGCAAGCAGCAGTGAAAGTAAAGGCCTTCTAGTGCTCAAATTTGAAGTCTGAATGCTGCCAATTTAAAATCTTCTATTTAGCATGTCAGAGGGTGGTCACAATGCATAAAGCTAGGTTCCATAAAACATACCATCTTAATAGACAAATTTCATGGCATATTACTTGCAAATCATTAATATAAAATATTAATTTTTTTGGTGCAGATTCAACTCTATACAGATTCTGAAACCTTTAAGTTGATGGGTAAGTGAGAGGGTATCCATCTTCCCTCTGTGTGTGTATTTTTTATGCTTGCTGCAGTTCTTCGCTCACTGTTGTTATCCCAGGATGTGTGATTAATGCATTTGTTGTGGTTAACTTTTATCAGGTAAAGAACATGCACTTGTTATATCTAATCACAAGAGTGATATTGATTGGCTTGTTGGATGGGTTCTGGCTCAGGTCTGTTTCATATCTGCTGCTTTTCCTTTGGCCACCTGTTTTTTACTGGATAAGTAAAGTAAGACATGTAATAGCAAGATGGTATTTCCCATATGCAAGAATTGAGTGATTACGTGTGAAGTTCAGAGAACAAGTTCATTGAAGAGTCTATTCATGCAAGAATGATTTCCTAATCCAAGGCAACAAATATAAAAGCCCAGCATTATCCACCAGTTTCTGGATTACTTGAAAACTCTCTTATTCCTCTCATTTCACATTACCGAAATCACTTCACTGGTGCACTGTGTCTAGCTCTTATAATTCTATGTATTTAGTCTGCCTTGGTCCAGCAAAACATGACATCTAGAACATTGCTTGGCATAACCCACCGACATTGGAATATACTTAACAGCAGCCATCAACATTCTTGATCTAGTTTACAGTATATATAATGTGTCTTGGCCATGCGCTTTCATAAGAAAAAATAGCTACTCGCATAAATCTGGCTTTCCTCTGCCATCTATGCTTTGCCTTCTTTGCTGTATTTTGCAGTGTTTGGATATGTGAGAGCTTGATATTACACTTAGAATTCGTTATAGATGCCTGTTTGAACTAATTTGTATGTAAACTAAGCAGTAAACCAGTAGACAAGGATTGTACCATCTTTGTGTGAAAAAATAGTTTATTTCCCTTATGCAGTAATTTTTACCTGAGGAAGACAAACTGAGATACTCCGATAAAATCTGCAGTATGACCCCAACTTTTTGGTTCTTTGTTGTCGTTATTTGCTTCTACCTATTGCTTTAATCTTCAATCTGTTGAACAGCGATCAGGTTGCTTGGGTAGCACTCTGGCAGTCATGAAGAAATCATCAAAGCTTCTTCCGGTAAAGGGTTTTATTATGACATTTAGCATATGTGATGCAACTCTTACTACTCTGTAATTTTGTCATAATTGACAAAGTTGTTCGTGGACTAATTTCTTCTGAACATGCTACTGTTATGAATTTCATGTGTTCTTTTCTTTTGGTACATGTATTCTAATTGCTTTTTGACAATATACAAAAAGCTTTTCAATGATGCAAGTCCTTTCTGAGAAATTAGCATTTGACTTCGAAATTGTATTTTGTACTCCATTGTTATATGATTTTGAAATAATTTCTTGGAGTAAATCCTTGTAAAGCATATTGCTGCTACTAGAATAGTTGCACAAAGAAGAAAATTGCAATAGGTGTTGATTCGATTTTCAAATTTTTTTCAGAGAACATGCTTTTTGTGCGATTACATGTATTTTGGATTCTCAACTATTTCGGATAAAAGCAGTCACTAAATTTTCCATGTTGGAAGCCCATTTTGTCTACGTGATGTACATTGTGGACTTTTGTCCTGTATAATTTTGGGCAAACATATGAAATGCCCTGGTAGTATGCATGATTGGGGGAAGAAACCTTTTTCTGCTGCAGCTAAAGAAGCAGAACTGAATCTTGCCTACTTTATTCTATTTTGTGTGAAATTTGTTTTTGGCAGATGAAAGGTGCTCTGTAATGATTCTTTCATATTCAAGTTAAGAGGGTAACAATTCAGGAAAGGAGAAAAAATGAAACACATTTTGGATAGAGTATTATTTGAAAAAATGAAAACACTTTTGTTTGGATAGAGTATTATTTGAAATATTATTTGGAATAATTAATGTAGCACTTTTTGTGATGTGATGTATGCGAAATAAAAAGGTGATTGGAAATATAAAAATGTTGGTTGGGAAATGTGTGTATGATGTAAGGGAAAATTATTTGAAAAAATTTGGTATCCAAACAATTTTAGCATTGGTTTTTGTAGGTGATGGATGTACTTCTACTTAAGTTTAAATTTGTATATTTCCATTTTGGCTGGACACTTCTTTGTTCCTTTTGTTGTACATTTCCTTGGAGCTTCTGTTGTGAGTTTACATATTCAATGAGAATGATTTTGTATTCTATTTTGTGCAGGTCATTGGCTGGTCCATGTGGTTTTCTGAGTATCTTTTTCTTGAAAGAACCTGGGCCAAAGATGAGAGCACTTTGAAGGTATGGTAATCTAAAGTAGGTTCTTGACTGCCTTTACTTCTTATTTGTGTTTGAACATACAGGTTTTGGTAGCATATGTATGCTTCTTTTTCCTTCTCTTTTTTTTTCTCTTCCAGTTCATTGTTTTGGAGCCATCCTAATTGAATTTGTCTGAGCTTTTATTGGCTTCTATTTACAGTCAGGGCTTGAACGGCTAAGGGATTATCCTCTGCCCTTTTGGCTAGCGCTTTTTGTTGAAGGGACTCGTTTTACACAAGCAAAGCTCTTAGCTGCTCAAGAATATGCAGCATCATCTGGGTTGCCTGTTCCTAGGAATGTTTTGATTCCCCGTACTAAGGTTGAGATCTAAATTCACTCTACTCCTTAAAAAGAGTTTGTAAAGATGTTAGTTTTAATGCTGCTATTCTTTTTGTTTGTGTTCTTTTGCTTGTCCTGAATATTTCATTTTTCGCTTAGCTTTATTTGCTTGTCTTGATTTTCTTCTCTGTCTAGGTATATCAGTTCAGTTCAACTGACAGCAGATGGTTAGACATGCTCACTCACTTTATAACCATATTCATGTTGTAAAGGACCATCAATATTTTTTCCCCATTAGTATATTTTGACTAGTGTAAGGCCACTTTCATCTTAACTTTTAGCAATTCTAATCCTGTAGTGAAGGATATTGCGTCTTTGAACCTAAATATGCCTTTTGTTTTTCTCTTCTTTGCTCATAGCAGAAGTTGTACATATTAGAAATGATTCTGAACATATACTTTTCATGTTTTGAAGTAGGCTGATCTCTGTGAAGCTTGTTTGTCAAATGATCTTAATTGAATTTTATTTTATTCAACCTAAAAGATACGCCAGTCTGTGCTAACTTTCTTCCCTTTGTTTAAGACCATCATAAGGATTCTTAAGTTCCGAACGTGATGGTTCTAAATGAAGGCAAGAAAGTTCTTTTCACCCACTTATTTTCTCAAACTTACTGCTGTTTCTTGATCATTACTTCCAGGGTTTTGTTACAGCTGTCAGTCACATGCGGTCATTTGTCCCAGCCATATATGATGTCACAGTTGCTATTCCCAAAAGTTCACAAGCACCAACAATGACACGACTCTTCAAGGGGCAATCTTCGGTGGTAAGCTGCAATTCTGTTTGACCGTCAGCATTGAGTTTATCCATTGAAGCCTAAATATGGCATTTTACCATTTTACACAAATACAAATAGAGAAAGCCTCAAGTACTACTAGTATCATGTTCAAGGAAATCAAGATCCTTTTTTTTTCGTGGTAGTATTAATGCCCTGGAAAAAATATACAAAAAAGATGTGACATTGTTTACTTAAAACTAGGCATTTACATACCCTTTAAACATTAATTCAATCTAATTGAGAGTTTAATACCCAGTACTAGAACAGAGTTTGCATCCATATCCAGTACTTGGATGTGTATCTGCATAGGGTACAATGGTTGAGAGACTCCAATGTATTGAGTGCTTTTCAACCTGTACTGGGTGATAACAGTTTAGAGTTCTGCAGGTTCATGTGCATCTCAAACGGCACTTGATGAAGGATTTGCCAGAAACAGATGATGATGTTGGTCAATGGTGTAAAGATATTTTTGTGGCCAAGGTGCACTCTTGGTTCCTTTATCATTGATAAGTTTAGTTGGATATTTGTCATGCCAAAATTTTGCGGGCGGCCTTTCATGACAAGTTTCATATTCATCTATGCTTATCTAATTCATTAATTTTTGCTTCTGCAGCGCCTATTCTTTATTTGTTTTTATCGTAATAACAGTTAGAGTGTTATCTTAACTGTGGCTTGCCTTTTGTTCACTATGTGATAACCAGGATGAGTTATTGGACAAACACAAAGAACAGGACACTTTTGGTGAGCAACTGTTGAGAGACATTGGTCGCCCCAAGAAATCACTTCTGGTAAAATGCCGTTTATCAGTTTAGATCATGAGATTTGGCTGTGGTGGATCATTTCATTCACACGTCTTTAAAACTATATGCTAACTGCGTAATGATAACAGGTGGTGGTCTCATGGTCTTGTCTGCTGGCTTTTGGGGTCTTGAAGTTTCTCCAGTGGTCATCACTTCTTTCCTCGTGGAAAGGTCTCACACTTTCAGCAGTTGCCTTATTGGTGGTTACACTTATGATGCAAATTTTGATCCGGTTTTCTCAGTCTGAGCGCTCAACCCCTGGTAAGGTTGCCCCAGGAAAGCCCAAGAATGGGGGAGATTCTTCAGTAAGTGTACAAAAGCAGCAATGAAACTCAGCATCTTATCAGGCCTTAGATAAAACTTGTGACTTCAGCCTTCATTTGATAGAAACATGTGGCATTTGTATCATGTAGTTTATCATTCCATTTTAAATTTGTATTTTTTGACGGTGAACTTGGCTGGGACCGATTTTTGTATGAAAGATAGACATCGTCTGCATATCAATTGGTGAATTGCTTTCCAACTGGGCTGATCTTATGCAGTGTGCAAAATGAAAGAGACGCGCATTTCAAATATACGCTCTTCATCTTAACTCTATCTATTTCAGTCAATCGGAATCTGAAGCTATTAGTTGATCGTACGGTGGGTAGGAGCCCGAATGGACCATGGTCTTCGTTTAATTGAGCTATTGGACAAATGTATTTAGTTGTAGGTTGGGGGGCTGTAAGTTTTGTGATTGTCCTAAACTTTTCTTTCATCGGTACTAAAAATAAATTTTCTTTGAAGGGCTATAGTTTTGTGATTATCATCTCTGAGCGTTGAGATTTTCTTGCCATTCTTTGTCATCATCTTAGCTACTCCATAATTTGGCGTTTAATGGAACTTAATGTGGGAATTAACTCTTTGAAGTGTAACTTTCAAAAGTAGGGTATATGAAACTTTCTCTTCGGGCCAAACGCTAATAATAATCGGGGAAATAAATCTAGGGATAATTACACATGCCTCTCCTAAGGTTTTTATTAATTGCAGGAAGTTCCTCTTGAGTTTTAAAAATTATACCTCTCTCGCCTATTTTCATTATTTAATATAATTCACAACATCCAAATCACTCATGAATAAACGTTTATCTTTGCTTCGAAACCTCTCTTTATATCAACTAAAAATGTCGAATCAAATATTCAAAAACTTATCTATAATTTCATATTAATACCAAATTTTACTTAATATCCAGCTACATTGTATTCATTAATATCTCTAAACTCCAATTCTATAGCTGCTACCTTCCCAGTACAAATTAGTCTAAGTCATCACCATTAATACGAATTCCCAATATACTCCATCAGCACAACGTTTAAAATCAATCAAATTTTGTCTCTGTAGGAATACCATCACTAGGAATTGCAATAGAAAATAGAAACGCAATACAGTTATAAATATATTAGGAATATTTTCTTTCCCATAACAACCATAATAGTATAATATTTATTTAGTTCTCCTTAGCCTTTCCATCTTTAATTTTTTATTTTTTTATTACTGCCATTATCTTCATCTCCAGCTAGTTTAACAACTAAATCATCACTCAACCTATTGTTTGACAAATTCAATTTGTTAATACCTGAAAAAAATTGAAAATAGAAATGGGTATAGAGAAGCTATTTAATAGTGAAAGAGAAAGAAATGAGAATATACATCAAGATAGATAAACACCGGTGGTTTGTATGCATGGTGGTTTTGTTGATAACAACAATACATATTTAGTCAATGGGAATGGATAAATAAATTCGAAAGGAAGAAAAACGTAAGAGAAAAAGAATAGAGAGTTAAATAGGGAAGGCTGCTATTTGAATCATTGGTTTGCAATAGATGAGGGAGGTTAATTTTTGGTAGAGTTTTTCAATGAGTTGACAATTAAATGAAGGACGTTGTTGTCTTTTTATTACACCAATGGAGCTCCCGTAATTATGAAAACCTTAGGAGAGCCAAGTGACATTGTCAGACACCTTAGGATTGGTTTCTGAAATTATCCCATAAATTTATAATACATCATCAAAGTGCTGGAAAAGTCCGATTCTTCTAAACAAATCTGATTAGTACTGCTACTTTTTAAAGATTTCGTGAGTGAGCTTTCAGCATGAAGTGTCTTATTACCTTATGATTCAGCATTGACATCACTTGTAAGTTGTAACTGTAGAATCTGGTAGTATACCTATATATTAAGTATAGTATCATCCAAATTGCGAATTTCAGCCTAATTTTGAACTTAAAATTGAGAAAACTGTAACGATCTTTGCTTGCTGGACTATTCGGATTAATGTCAAAGAATAATTTTTCGATTCGTAAGCAAGGAAACTCAGAATCTGCTTTCAATTAAAAAGAATGAAAAAGCAAATTCATAACAAGGCCTTTCAATCCACATATAAAATTTTGTTTCTTTCCACTTGAAATCAACATGCTTGAATTTCACAGAGCATTGTTTCTGTTCCAGGATACTGATCAAATCAATAATTGACTACATTACTTTCATTAGTTTCCACTGTATATTGGCCTAAATTTACAACTGGCATTTGTCATTGTGAACAAAAACATTTATTTGCACCACCCGTGATCCCCTCCTTGCATCTCCAAAACTCAGCAGTTCCCAGCCGGACTGCATTGATATACTCCTGGATTCCGTGTGCTGGAAAACCAGGAACTAGGAGACCAAACAATCTACATACTAGTAGCAGCAGGCCTTCTCTGTATTCTGGTCCATATAAATGGGGAAGAAGAAAGCTTCTTACAAGTTCCCAAAGGGCATCAAGCCTTTTTGTTATGAACGCACGGATGGAGAAGTAGTTTCTATGTGGTTCTTGCGGAAATATCTGCATCATAGGCACCAGGAAAAACTTTTTTGAAAGAATTTATTGGACAGTTTTTGACAGGAATATTAGAGGACAATCAAATGTTTACCTTTCCTTCATACAGGCTGTTATAGAAAAGGCATGTTCCAAAGTGTCTAAACAATAGTGTTGTGTCATCATCATAGGGAAGCCTGGGCACAATGTCATGATTATACACAAATCTGTAGTATTTTATATCATAGCTCTTAAGCTGCTCCTTGACAAAGTCTCCAAATTTCACATCTCCCACTCTTGGCTGCCCAAACGTGTAGATTGCCTCCAGTCTTTCCAATATACAAGTCTCATCATGCAATGCCAGAACTGCCGGAAAGAGGATAGCAAGTGCTCCTCCTAAGCTGTGTCCAGTTAGAATAAATTTGGTCCGACTGTGGGGATGAAGAAGTTTCCTGAGCTTCTCTTTGATGGTATAGTAAGCTATCGGTTTTTTATTATCATGGTCAATTGTAGGAGGCCAACTTTGATCGTTCTGTAATCCTAGAGCTTTGATGAAGCCACTATGGACTTTTCCCATACTCTGGAACTTGTGCCAAGATAAGTCAAAGTCTGTACGCCAATCATCTGCATTGAAGAGTTCGGTTCCTCTAAAGGCCACAATGATCATATCAGGATTAGCTGTTTTATCATGGATTATGAGCCCTTGTGTTGAATATTTCTGTTGATACTCTGCAAATATTGTGGTGAAGCAAATTAAGGTCGATAACTATTGAACAATCTTGATTATTAGCACAATGTGATGCTTACCATTCCAGAAGTCATATTCCCCTATTAACTCCATCTGCATAAAATAGCAGACAATTAACTTATGTATAGCTAATTTAGAGACTTGCATAAGTTATTGGTAGCTACCAGATTTCTAGTTGTCTTTTAAAAATTTCTTATCAACCATATATTTTTAACTTTGAAAATGAACGATGGCATTAGTAATCTGAAACACTATATTACCTTCCATTTATCTTCAACGACAGCTTTGATGAATGCTTTATTTTCATATGCAATTTTAGAAGCCATTACAGACAGCTCTGCAAAATATTTTTTGTCACCTGGCTTGATGTTCTTATCCAATTCTACTCTTCTGTCAAAATGCCCTAGAAATGACATAAAGTCAGCTGATCCTTCTGCTGGCACCACCACCTTCCCTGTATGCCAGATACATCTATATGATCACTTCAATTTTCATGATGCAACAGATCAACATGCACACAAGTAGTGCATGCTAGGGGTGCAGAAAATGAAATGGACAAATAAACTAACCTCGCAAAAGATTCAGTAGGAAAAGACAGAAGTTTCCATTACATGCAAGAAGATTTAGCCACAACTCAAAGATTGAACCAAAAACAGACAAGGGCTTTGCTGCGAACTGGAGAACATTTTGAATGAAAATTGAGAAAAAGATATACACTCTATGCTTGAGGCTCGTCTTCTTCACCCTGAGGCACTCGATGAATTGTTTGCTCTCTATGTTACCAGAAATTAGGAAACGAATGAGGCCTATAAGGCTTGCTTCATCAGGTTTCAGCACCATATACTTTTTACTAGTTTGATCATTGGAGGCTGCCATGGTGTGATGGTAATAGGATCAAACAAGAAGAAGATGGTCAAATGAGATCTGATAACAGCAATTGGTATATAACAGTAATTGGTATATATTCTGCACAATACTAGCAAGAAGCCCTTGCTGGACCCGAACCTAGATGCATGCTTGCAAGAAGCAAAGAATAAGTGAATAACCAAGGAACTAAATTTTTAGATTCCTTAAAACTCTGAAATCATACATTCACTTCATATATCAGTACTAGTTCTAGGCGTATAATTTAAAGAACAAGCAAACCAAATAATATCGGAAAAACTAGAACATGTAAACCAAAGAAATGTTGACTAACATTTGTCCTACACGTAAAGTGCACCAGTGTATTGATACAAGTTTTACTTTGATACGCAGAAATCTAGTACCCGTGAAAACAACTTGAGAGGGCAAACTAATTCTTTGCTTGTGCTGTTCTTAGCCAATAGGCAGTCCTTTATGACCTAGCAGTTGGAAATTGGAACAGTACTTTTGCCTTCGCCTTCAGGACTGCAGCACGTGATATAAACGGAGTAGATCCCATAAATTGTCAATTTGGCCTGTCACTGGAAAAATCATGACAACAATTGGTATGAAATGTGATCATCAGACACCATACACGTTACATAGGATATTGCCTTTTTTCTTTTTTTTTTGGGGTTCCTCTACTTTAATGCATGTAGGACACAACTTAAGTAGAAGAAAACGGATTTGCTAGCCCAAACAACGAAACCACTGGGGCCAATCTCTGAACTCATATTATAAACTCAGAAGAAGATCAACCCTTTGTTGTTCTTGGGCTCTCCAACAGTTGAGCCTTGGATTCTTGAATGGTAAAAATCTAGTGATGCCAGCCTTGTAGCATTCACTTAATCTTAAGGCAAATGGACAGGTACCCCTGCGATTATCATGCCCATAGCCCTAAACAATCGAGTGATGCCCCTTTCCTGGAATTCCCGCCCCAATGCAAATCCAACGATGAAGCTTCTTATCAGCTCCCAAATGGAGTAGCATTTATGACCATTGGTACGAGCCACAACGTTGAGAAGTAGTTCCTGTTAGGTTCTTCATCAAGAATCTGCAGTAAAAAATGCCACAAAAATCATTTCGATCA